TATATTATTATTNTACTAATATGAATAATACTACCACACACACACACACACCCTCACACACACACACATATATACCTATCAAAAAATAAAATGTACATGTTAAATAATAGACATACTTGTGTATGTAAATGAATGTATCTACATCGTATCTGGGGATCATTGGGACATGCGATTGTGGATGTTTATTTTAATAGCTCATCTGGTGCGATTGCCACTTGGGGGTTGGGTGGGTCTTTTTGTCCGTGTTCGTAATGCCCTCTTTTATGGACCGGTATGCTTTTTCTGCATCCGGCTGTTACAATTTTGTCGCATTTGGATCTCCCATCCATCACAATCCGCTGAAATGATATGCACACACACCTTTATACGCCTTGTTAACCGTACATATAACACGTGTACTCGTTATAACCTCTACACACACCCTCACCTGTACACGCACACGGCCTGTAGCCGTTACCCGCGGCCTTCCGCATCACCGGAGGCAAAGAGAAAGCTCACTGTCTCAAGAAGATGATCGAGGAAGAGTACTTTCCCTCCATCAAAGACTTCAAGTCTGAGGACGCAGACGGAGTGGTATACGGACAGCCCAAGACTATGCCGTGGTATCCCGATGGGCGTGCATACCATATTGACTGGCCCAAGCAGATCATTAGAAAGCACGCGGAGCTCAAACGCTTCCACGAGTTTCTGGTCAACTGCGATCAGGTGTGCGTGCGCGCGTGTGTGTGTGTGTGTCTCTCTCTCTCTCTCTGTGTATGTATGAATGTATGTAAGTATGTGTGTGTGTCTCTCTCTCTGTGTGTGTGTCTCTCTCTCTCTGTGTGTGTGTTTGTGTGTGTGGCTTTATAGTATTGGGTCGTTGGGTGTGTAGATGTGTTAGTGGTGTTCGTGAGGCAGATATTTTCGGGCTTCCATGTGCAAGTATAGTTCTGGTTGTTATGTTATATTAATGTAGGTATCTTGATGGGTGCGTGTCTTATATGTATATAATTATGTATGTATACGCGCTTGTATACATGTATGTACGTGTGCGGCTTTGGCTGTATTCCCCTATATATATATGCCTGTATGTTACTGAGCGAAGTAGTGTGTGGATAAGGGTACAGTATGGCACGCATACTCACGTTTCCAATTGTGCATCCAAGCACACATACCAGCCGAAACACGTACAATAACAGGTGCATAGGGGCTCTGGGGGAATTTACTGCCCGATACCTCTCTTAGTAACCCTATACCAACGTACATCCCTGATCACGGGCTGCCTATACCGAGTATCCATACTGCATACGCTAACACGCCCTTATACACCACAGGTGGGGTCGATCAGCCGCCAGGAGGCTGTGAGCATGATTCCCCCGGTTGTGCTTAACGTGCAGAAGGGCGATGTTGTGCTGGATATGTGTGCCTCTCCAGGCTCAAAGACCAAACAACTCATCGAAATGGTCACCGGGACGGACGTTGATCCGAAGTTGGTTGGGGTTAACAAAGAAAGGTGGGTGTTAGATTATTTGTAGAAGTGGGGAGGGTGTGGAGATGGGTGTGTTAGTGTGTGTTTAAGGTAGTAATGGGGGTGCGGAGATGCGTGTTTGTGTGTGTTAGTGTGTGTTCATAACGTTCTGAAATGCGCGTTTGTTGTGGTGAGTGAGCACAGACCCAATTGGCATGATCACTTGGATGCACCTTGACGGGTAGGCAAGCACACAAGAGCAAACCAAGAAAATTAATTTCGTAAACGTTTAAATATAAACGTCATTAAAACAAGTGTGTCTTGGTCATATGCTTATGACACGCTTTGGAGCAGTTGTTCGTGTCAGCACGTGTAGGTATGTCGTTTCCATAACCTATATATATATTGAAGGATATAGAATATACGCTGCGGGGATCTTAAAAGCAGGTGTACGTTTCAGTAGTAGTGGTGATTGATAAGAGTCTTATCGGCGAGTGCTTCACCATGCAGACTTTGCTTCGTTTCGGCGAGAGTTCTAGCGGTGTTTGTGTGTGTTGTGTGTATTCGTGATCCTGTATGCTATAGGTGTCTACTTGTATATGTTCAATCCGCCTTGATATGCGTAGATAGGTGTACTATTTTCATGCAGGCCTTGAGCGCGAGTGAGTAGTACATTGGCGCAAGCAGTCGGTTATGTTGGTTGAATTGGCGATTTAGACCCAATTACAAGCTGCTTCAGACTCTAAATAGCCCCTGTATGTCCTTATGACACAAATGCCGAACTCTGTTCTGAGTATGTGAGGTGTCAAAGTGCATGTGATATATCAAAGTAGAAGTAAGGGTCACTCTCTAACTACCCCCCATATATCCACATCGCAGAAATGACTTCTGTATATGCGATGTACATCCCAGTACAAGCAAATGTCCTGCCACTCTCTAACTACCCTCCCATACACCCACATCGCAAGAATGACTTCTGTATATGCGATGTACATCCCAGTACAAGCAAATGTCCTGCCACTCTCTAACTACCCCTCATACACCCACATCGCAAGAATGACTTCTGTATATGCGATGTACATCCCAGTACAAGCAAATGTCACGTCACTATCTAACTACCCCCCATACATCCTCATCGCAGGAACGCTGAGCTTCCCGACGGTATGGTTGTAGCCAATGACTTTGACCCTCGTCGGTGCTATCTGCTGGTGCACCAGGCCTCGGCCCTTGACTCACCCGCACTCGTGGTCACCAACCACAACGGCATGTCCTTCCCCAATATTTACAAACCCAACGCCGACGGAAACGGGCCAGACAAGTCCAAGTATGGATGTTTTAAATACCTAATGTAGCTGTGTGTAGGTGTAAGTTCAAGTACGGATGTTTTAGAGACCTAATGTAGCTGTGTGTAGGTGTAAGTCCAAGTATGGATATTTTAAATTGCCAATGTAGCTGTGTGTAGGTGTAAGTCCAAGTATGGATGCTTTAAATATCTAATGTAGCTGTGTGTAGGTGTAAGTCCAAGTATGGATGTTTTAAATTCCCAATGTAGCGGTGTGTAGGTGTAAGTCCAAGTGTGGATGTTACAAAGACCCAATGTAGCTGTGTGCATGTGTGGATATGTGCATGGTTGTGAATAGGTCCTATGCAAGGCGTGTTACTGTTGTCTGCATCGTCCACACTGAACGTGTTCGCATTGGTGGTTAACCAAACAACCACAGACAGAAAGTGGAGGCAGGCGCATCTGATTGTCTAAAGCGAGGACGTGTTGTGCACCTGATTGTCTAGAGTAAGGACGTATTGTTCACCTGATTGTCTAAAGTAAGGACGTGTTGTGCACCTGATTTTCTAAAGTTACATATCATCTGTTCGGTACTTCTAAGCTGTGCATATAGAAATAGTCGGATATACTATTGGAGCTAGTACTATGTTGTATGGTCGGCAATGGGAGGGACGCCGTCGCATGTCGTGCATACGTTTAAGCTGTGTCTATATAGATCACCTGCAGTCTATCGACGTTACCACTATCCTTTCCTGCCAACTATACCATACGCCGCAGGTAGGCTGTCTACGTTACCTCTATACCCTGCCAATTAAACCACACTTCAAATGCACCTGCACCCCATCTCTAGGATATTCTTATTGGATATACGTCACTTCTATACCCCGCCATTTAAACAACACTTCACATGCACCTGCAACCCATCTCCTAAACCCTAAACCCTAAAACCATCTCCAGGCCAATCCTATTCGATCGGGTGCTATGCGACGTCCCTTGCAGTGGGGACGGTACGGCGCGTAAGAACATTCAAGTGTGGCAACGATGGAGCCCAATGGACGGACCCAACCAGCACCATTTGCAGAAACGCATCCTCACCCGTGGTGCTGAGGTACTTGTGTTGGTTGTATATGGTGGATGTGGGGACGGGGTCTGGTGGTTGTAGTGGGCGTGGTTGGTGTGTGGCTTTGTGTGTTGGATTGTTTGTATGCATTATGGAGAGTATTTTTGGGATATATATATATGTATATATATATATATATATATAAATATATATATCTGTATATATAGATATACATATTTATCTATATCTATATC